TAAGCGGCGTTGTAACTTTCCTCAAATCGCGACACAGTTTTTCACTAATTACAGAAACGACGGCGCCTGTGTCGACAAGTGCACGTACAGCAACACCTTCTACTAGCACATTAATTTCGTTGGACGGACAAAGAGGAGGTCTTAGAAAGTTCGACGACGACGCAGTTCTTGCCTCCGGAACTGCGGCTGTCAGTTTTCCTCTCGAGCGGGGCTCGTGCGCCGAAGCATCGGGGAGACAGATCGGCGACGGGGTGGTAATGACCGGCGAGAATCGACGGGGCGTCGTGGGGACGTTGGTGATAGGAGAAGATGGTCGCTGGGGATTCTGGGCAGCCTGGGAATTTGCAGAATTCCCATGGTCTGGAGGCTGGAAGTTGCGACGGCGACAGTAGCGTGCTATATGTCCCACGAAACCGCATGCGAAACAGATGGGTCGATTATCCAAGGTGCGCCATGGGTTAATGACAGAAGGTGCAGGGGGCGAAACGGGATGGGGTGCCGTGTATGTAGGCAGCGTCGTAGGGTAGGAGGACCCGGTGCCCCGGTATGCGCCAGAGACAGGTGGGGCTGGGGGTCTAGCAACGACGGCAGCGTAGGTCAGCGGCGTAGGGACAAGTGGCGATGGAGGCAGTGCTTGCGTGACCTGTGTCTCAATGACCTGGCGTAGACGTGGGTCTAACGAGGTCACTGGCGCGGATGCTTCGGCCACAAGAGAAAGCTGACGCGCAACTTCCTCACGAATGAATTGTTTGATTTGGGGGAGTAAGACGGTGTGATCAGCAACGACGTCGTGTACGAGGGCGGAAACTTCAGCCGTATCTTCTGCGGCCCTGCGCGTCGAGACACGCTGCTTACACAACTCGTCGTACTCCTGACAGAGGTGGACAACATCGGTGACGGTCTGTGGATTCCTAGCGACGAGCATCTGGAAGGTGTCGTCGTCAACTCCTTTGATGATGTGCTTGATTTTGTCGCGTTCGGTTAGAGATTCATCGACGCGCTTGCAAAGGGACAAGACATCTTCAATGTAACTCGTAAAGGTCTTGTCCCTGCGCTGGACTCGACTACGGAGACGCTGTTCCGCGCGAAGCCGGCGCACGGCGGGACGGCCGAAGACCGCGGAGATGGTGGTCTTGAGGGCGGACCAGTTGGTAATTTCGCCTTGGTGGTTTTTGAACCAGAGGCTGGCCACATCAGCGAGGTAAAAGCGCACGTTTGTGAGCTGGTCGCAGGCGTTCCACTTGTTGGAAGCGCTTACGATTTCGTACTCGACGAGCCAGTCCTCGACGTCTTGTTCATCGTTGCCGCGAAAAATTGGTGGGTCGCGTTGCCGAGGCGCGCCAGTACAGTAGACTGTCGTTGGTGAGGCAGCTTGAGAAGGGCCAGGAGCAGTCATGGTGAACGGTGAGGGTAGCGTCCGATTGCGAAGTTCCAGGTTGATGGGAACCCCGGCTCCTCCACCACTTAAAATAGAGGTGTTGTACGTCGAGAAAAGTTCAGACGTAGCTTGGCAAAATGTCCTTTATCAGGCAGGTCTGGCTAATGGCGAGCGGCGTCCACGAGCTACTACTGCAGCCACTGATCATCATCGTCTTCTTCGTTGCCAGCAGAGCGTCCGTTACTCAGATTCATTAATTCATTATATATATATATATATATATATATATATATATATATATATATATATATATATATATATATATATATATATATATATATATATATATATATATATATATATATATATATATATATATATATGAGATCTAACAGACAATAATGCCAAGGAAGGTATAGGGGAAGTTATTAGGCCAGGTTGTAATGTAAATGAGAAGAAAGAAATGTGGGTGAAAAGATAACTTGCCGTGGGCAGGATCCGAACCTGCGACCTTCGAAGGTCGCAGGTTCGGATCCTATACCTTCCTTGGCATTATTGTCTGTTAGATCTCATTAATATTGTGTAAAACACGAAAAAACGAGCCCTTAAGTATACACTTGTTCCCCTTATTCATAAACGAGGGTCTCGTACTGGCAGACTTGGTGCCTCTAGGTTGTATTTGGGGGACTATTGGTCAGCTGCCAGTTAGTTATAAGTTCACGTGCTACGTGACGCCAAACAGGCTCATAAAGAGTGTGCCACACTCGCCGCCATGGCTACTAGTGGCGCTGACTGACACTCCCACGTTTAAATTGACCTAGATGCCCAATAAAATGGCGGGGGGGGGGGGGGGATAGCTGTCGTGGTAGCTCAGTGGTAGAGCATCGAACGCGTTATTCGAACGTCGCAGGTTCGGATGCTGCCCACGGCAAGTTATCTTTTCATCCACTGTTCTTTCTTCTCATTTACATTACAATTGGCCGAATAACTTCCCCTATACCTTCCTTCGCATTATTGTCGGTTAGATCTCATTAATATTGTGTAAAACACGAAAAAACGAGCCCTTAAGTATAGTATACACTTGTTTCCCTTATATATATATATATATATATATATATATATATATATATATATATATATATATATATATATATATATATATATATATATATATATATATATATATAGAGTACCGCATCAGCGCGTACTCGAACCCCACCATAACTACGAGTGAAAATGACGGAGATCGTATGCCTTTGGTGGGCTGTATTAACGTTAGACGACATCGAGGGATTATATTAAAAATGAGAAATCACAGGCGTTTATTTTGCATGTTTCTTTCTCACATTTTTACAGTGTAAATTTTATGAAAGGGAACATGCAAGCGCGTGGCCTGCGCTTTGTCACCGAAATAAGTCATGAACGTCAGACAAGCGCTGCTAAATTGTGCTCCCGCTCGGGTCTCTCAACGGCTGATGCCGCCAAAAGCGGATGCGCTTTCATTACCTGTTGGCTGATGGTGCTGTATGCAGCCGCAGCAGGGCGCAGGCCACGCGCTCACGTGTTCCCTTGCAGAAAAATTGATACTGTACATACACATACGTATACATATACGGGACATGACGGCGACGGCGAACATCTACCTAGAGTGTCCATATAATTGATATTGCAATAATAGGCAAAACACTCGCCGTGTTAACAATTAGCGCGTAAGGTATCACGCCGCTAAGCTCGAGGACGCTGCTTGGATTACTACTAAGTCAAGCACATTTTGATGGAGATCAATTCCAAAAAAAAATACCCGTATAATTACGTTTACGGCCCACGTTGGAGGACCCTAGGTGGTCGAAACTTATCCGGAAATCTTTACGATGTGCCTCATAATCACGCCGTGGTTTCAGCACGTAAAATAATTACTATAGAAAGCAACAGTGACTATAGATGCATGAAAGTCTGAAGGAGCGCAAGGAGGACAACTGGTGATATTCCCGTGAATATTCGGGACGAAGCACCTGAGAGTCTATGTTTGTCGGCGTGTCATGTCGTCGTCACGGTCAATCATAAACGGATATAAGCCACCCAAATGGGGCAAATCCCACTACTGGCCACCGGTCCATGCTGTGCACATTACGAGTTGAAAGATCGTCATTACTGCGTAAAACATTACGTTTGGCCTAGCAGCCGTGTCAGATTCGTATACTGAATTAAGCAAGTCGCTCGGGCTTATTATCTAAAACTAGAGACACAAACGTGAATCTCTGCGGTAAAGTAATCGACTGTAACACCACCTCTTAAAATATATCTGGGAAGAAATGTACCGTTGGTGGACCGGTGGCTAGTAAAGAGTAATCTGCTGTGATAAATACAGGGGCCCACTGCATGCATGTTTTGCCCCTGCCCAGGTTTTCAAGTCTCAGTGCGTAGTCCTCTTTTCTATAGTCTTTTGCTCTTACCGAACTAGGTCAGTTCTTGTTCAAAGGACGAAGCGTCTGATGTGCGCGTGCTAATTGCTTTGCCAGATTTTGCGTTTCCGTTGGTGGCCCTCAAGCTGAAGTTATCGGCCTGCTTTGCGAGGCACCCAGAAGCGTCAGTTAGTGCGTATTTCTAGGAATTCGCTCCTTCTTGCTCGTTCTTACGGTGAGATTACACGAAGGCATGCGCCCTTCCGGCGGCTGCTCAAGGGATAAAATTCGGTGGTCGACATGCAAGACGGCTCTGCTACTGCCACTTGTACAGTATAACTCCTTACGAGTGGACCACGTAGCCATGCATGGGGCCTCTCCTTGTTGTTACACAGTAAGCTACATGGTTCATTCTTCTGCAGCTATTGTAACGCGTACTTCGTTTTCATCATGCATAACCACATGAATTGGTGTCACTCGGCCAGAATGTACAGGAACCTTCATGGTTGTCTTGGAATGTTCCGAATAATTTGGTCGCACGACGAGCTTATTCTAGGTCCACCGTGGTGGTGCAGTGGTAATGGTGCTCACCTGAACCGAAAGTCACTAGTTTTATCCCGGCCGCGGTGGTCGCATTTTGATGGAGGCTGGCACGGTTCACCTAATTCCAGATCAATGACCGACGGATCGTGCTGGCTACTCCCGTAGTATAGTGTGAGGGTTCTTCAATTTTTTACTTTAAGCGTTTCGTATTGTGGATACAAGTTCGCTCAACAGATCATTTACTGTTTAACCCATTTCACTGCTTTGTTCTTCACCCCTTAGAATCGCGGGGCATGTTAATCAAAACCTTCTTTTTCATCTTTTTTTACGGACACTGAATGCTGAATAAACTCTTCGCTTATATGTCACCAGACGGTTCAGATTATTATTTCGAGACAGTACATTTACTCTTTTGAATTGTGAAACGGTGTTGATGAATCAAGCGCTGGGTCTTCTGGCGCAGCCTCTCTACACTGATTTAATGGGATCGATCAGGCGATTGGAACAAACGCTGCAACAAGCACAGTAGTTGAGTGCTTCTGCGTAGGTGCAGGTTTCTGTTTTACATTCCCGTGCCGCAAGCAGCACTTCTGGCCGCGTTAGTGTCCTATACTGCTTGAATTTCTTGCGAGTTTGAGCGTTACCTAATCAGTGGTCCTCGTATATATGTGTTGCAGACACGTCACCGGCCGCATGTGCACGTCGTGTGCGCGACGCCTAGGATGCTGAACCTCCCGGAACGAAGGAGAAGCCGCAGTGGCAGTGCCACAGCCATGAAGCGCTGCCAGACTTTCTGCATGCGTGTCAGCATGCTCATCGCGCTCGTGGCCGTCCTGCTGGGTGCCATGTGCCTCATCATGCTTCGTTTTCCCGAGAAAGACGTGCACATGTCTTCCACTGACATGCGGCTGGTCGAGGCCGTCTCCAACGTGTGGTGCGGCGGACAGGAGTTCGTGTCGGCGCACCCGTTCAGTGTGTACCGCGTCAACGACCTTCCCCCGGCCGTTCCGGCCAACCACATCCATCACACCATCGAACTGTCCACCAGTGTGCCCTCGGGAAAGTTCCACTACCTGCGCTACTACCTGCTGCCGGGCTCTAACGTGACGGCCGACGTGATGGCCGACGAGCCCGGCGGAACGGTGCATGCCGTCCGTGGCGAAGAAGAACTGCAGAGGTGCATCCGGACGCTGCAGGAACAAGCGGCAGACGAGGATAGCTCGGAGGAAGACGACGACACGCCTAGGCGCCTGCCGGGATACTACCGCTGGGCTATCAAATCGAAACGCGTCGATCCGTCTACCACACTGGACGCAGCTCGTCTCAGCTTCCGGGCCACTGCGGCCGACCTCTACTACGTGCTTCTGGTAAACGAGAACCAATCGTCGTCCTCACTGGTCAACTTCAACATCCGCGTCGACTTGAACCGCACCGTGTTCGGAGTGAGCCCTCAGGACGTGGTGTGCCTCGAGCAGACGCACTGCGTGTACCACGTCCATTTCGGCGCTGAGGACAGGCTCATCCTGCACGTGCCACGAGAGAGAGACGCCGGCAACGCAGTCTTCACGATAACCACGTCGTGCAGGCCTCGCGTCTTCTTCTACGCGCTCCTGTTCATCCTCATTCCCATTCTCTTCCTGGTGTTCTTGGGTGCCGTCATACGGGCTTTCAGTTACCTCGCAAATAACTCGTCAACCGACGAAGGCAAATACCTTCGCTTCCGGCTGTTCGGCGAGGACGAGAGGACGCGACGACGTCGCAGGCGGCTCGAGGAACTGGTGGCGTCGCAAAGCCGGCCAGTCCAGGAGTGCGTCGGCACAGGTGTCGCGTTGCCCGCCGATCCCGCTGCCGAGCACTTCCTCGTATACCACGTGCCCGGCTTAGACCCACCGCCCAGGACACCACCGCCTTGCTACGCATCCCTGCAGCCGGAGCCCGTGGCCGAAGACGAATCTCTGCTCGGCGTCTCTGTGGCTCTCGTCGATGCCCCGACACCCATTCAGCCACCACGCTACTCCGAAGTTTTGCAGCAAGAGACCGCTGCCGACTTGCTTACTCCTTTGGAGCCCACCTTAGCACACGAGAGGACTGTCAGAGAGTCGGCCCCGTCAATCCAGCCAACGGGGTCGACTAACTAGCCCGACGTCTGATTCACTTGCACCACGTCAGTTCACCCTGTTGAAGATACGTCATTTTCAGCAGCAGAGAGACTCGAGACTGTGCCGCCTTGCATCATGCTAGCTGTTTCTGCGGGAACGACAAGGAACATCGGCGAATGCCGCTCTCGTGCTATCGGCAGAGTGAAAAAAAAAAGACACGCCTGTGCGCGTGACAGCGATTTACATTAGTGGCAGAGCATTAGGGTGTGAGGACATTGTTGTGAGCCCGCATCATCAGCCGGAACTCTAGAACTCGCAACCCTGTGACGAACTGAATTTTAGTAGTTGCACCATTTACGTTCACGAAGGTGCTATGCTCCTCAGTCCTTTAGCTATGGGCCAGTCCAGCAAAACACCATCGACAAATCACATTTGGGCACCACACACTCTCGCGATAAATAGTATAGGCTTTCCGAATTTACGTCTTAATCGCATCGTGTCGCACTCAAACGTGCTCGAAACATTTGCAATTGTTTACAGTACCACTTGGACTTGACAACATGTGCACTATATTAACGCTTCGTTTACATTAAGCATCTATTGATTTATCAAAATATTCGTCAGTTCTTGATAAAACCGCAAAATGAAAACATACCGTGCGAAGCGTATACACGTATTCATATCTAGTTAAAGCCGGGAAATGAGCCTAATGTGAAGGTTATTCCGGAAGTGTTTGCCGGAAGTGTTCGAACGGTATCATATATAGGCAATTATTGTTAAGATAACATGAACAGTGAACTATAACGTGCCCTCAAAACTGCATTTGCTCGGAATGCACAGAGTTCGCGTTCGAGTCCGGGATATCATGAGCGAGTCTTGGAGACATAATTACAACGCGAACATATGCATCTATCCTTCGTGAGATAACTGAATGACACTTTATAATAAAGTCTCCACACACAAAGAGCTTATTGTGTCTTTCCCAGTCGGTCTTTCTTGACGCGTCATTCGAGGCTGTGCAAATATGCATAGGCGTGCGCGGTTGGGGGGGGGGGGGGGGGGGCGTAAAGCTAGCCTCATACATTGACATTATAGGAAGGGGGCGCTGCGACAAAGCCCCCCCCCCCCCAACTTCTGGAGGGGAACCCTGCGCACGCTTATGAAAATATGTGTGGGCGTTCGATAAGCAACTGCGCTCTCTACAGGTGTATGAACTGATTTATTGATTGATTAATTTTTCGGTTGCCTGATCGAATACAGCGTATTGATCCATGAATTAAACATCCTAAAGTAACACAGGGGCTACGCGAGTGCCACCGTAGTGGAAGGAGCCTGGATTACTTCTGACCATGAACTTGTTCGGTTCCTTTCCCTCCTTTCTGCTATGTCTTATTTATTTCATGAAAACATCGATTGGCAAGCGTAGTTCAAATTCCGTGAGTACCATTGTCTTCATTTTCAGGACAGCGCGAAGGAAGCGGCGACACCCAAGAAACACGCAAAAGACGGTGAGTCAAGCTGATAAACTGAACTCAGTTAGGGGCGCTGTGTATTTTATTCTTCGCAAGGCCATCCCAAAAGTATATTAATTAGATGTGCACAACATAAGGTATCGAGTATATTAGGATTCCAGTGCGATACGACGTCGCAGCATGTCGCACTTTCGGCTGAAAGACAAAGATCGCGAGAGCAGACTGCAACATCAAGTTGGGTTCATCGTTTAATTAACCATATGAACTGCACCAATTAAACGCTCACTAGCTAAGAAAGTTGTGAAACCTGAAAACTAGAAAACGTGAGCATAGCTCACTCGACGATTACAAACAGCCCTTTTCACAAGCAGAGAACATATCACTCTCGCTTCAGACGATTATTATGATCACGACGCTCTGCTTGTCCAAGCAAGCGAACAGCTATCGCTTTGGGTAAGTTATGCGGGTTTTCGACATCATCTACCCGAATATGGGCAAGCTAACTGGCCCAATTTGCTGATACCTGGCCTTTAGGTTTTCCGAACAATGGCACGCGTTATCGTCTCACCCTCGCAAGGATATTTCTCCCGCAGCCCCGACAGAAGTCATTCTTGGGATGCGAGCGCCCTCTGTATGTCGCGCCACCGATGTGTGTCACAGCCGCGGTGAAACCAAGCGACGGTACTTAGTCGTTTGATGGGATCAAGGTCGAGCTTCATCAACTCACGCAGAAGTAACCCTCGAAATGCTATGAGGCTAGGAAGCTAAATAGTTGTTGTTGTTTTTTTTTTCGCTCAGTGTTGCGAGGTGCACAGGCTAAGTGTCTCTGCAAGCCAACCGCGTTGACTGCAGCACTAGCGAATGACAGCGGTAAAAAGATGGTCTTTACAGCAGGCGAAGGCACGCGCGTATGTCATAAAACAATATCGTTGTCAACATGGATGCGTCCTTTTAGAACGCGTAGTAAAGTTACTGTTGTTGCTGTATAGATAAGTGCTACATCCGAGCTTGGCACATTGCATCCTTAGGTTTTCCTCCATGTGCACCCACAGTTTGAACGCCAACGGGCGTCTCAGCTTGACGCACAGATAAAGCACACAAGCCGGCTGGCTACTCGATCGTCCGGCGGGGCCCAAGTCGAGGTCGCCCGCTGCGAGGGGCGGCCAAGAAGAGGCTTCATTTACCGAGAGGGTGGTGATAGCTCGCCCTATCGGACGACACGGCCGAAGCAGAGCCAGCGCTAAGTGGAGAAATCGCCGAGCGGCGACGCCAGAATGAAAACACGACCGCAAAAGTAGCTGGGGCAGCTCCGCTGACAGATAAGGGCTTGCGTAAGAGCGGGGGTTGCGCCGAGGAAGCCGGGGATGCCGCGAGCGTCGCGCCTCGGGCGAAACAGTTGTCGACGACGCCGCTCGTTGCCCTTCGCAGAGAGTGGGTGAACACATTTCTCGCTCCACGCAAACGTTGTGAGAAGGAAGCCAGGCTGGAATCGCGCCGAGCGAAGTAGTCGTGGCGACACACGGCCGCCTCCTTGACGCTGTCGGCAACCTGAGTGAGCGCACATCGCAACAACGCCCTACCACGTGCTTCGAGAAAACAACCGGCTACGAGCAGCTGAGCGCAGCGACGAATCACCGCAGCGGAGCGTCGCGTCCGTCTGCGCAGACGCCTCTCGGCAAAGAGAGCGCAGCGACGATCAGACAGCATCGTACGCGCACAAGGCGTAAGTGTGCGCCCGAGCTTGTTTTCGCGAGCTGACCCGAACCCAGAGTCCGCCAAGCACTTCGGCCACACCAGGGGTCTCGCTAGCGTCCACTTTCACTTCCCTCCCGGCGAGGTCCTCGCCGCTCTCTCAACGCGCGCGTGCTATTTGTGGCCGGACCTGCGGGCGAGGGTATGGCTCTCCCTCCTCCTCCTTGACGAAGCACGACTCGGAAACGTGCACAGGCCTTGGATCTGGTTCGGCACGCGGTTTAAGCTTCTACACTTTCGGTTTTTCGCAAGGACGAGCAAAAACTGCTCGGGGAGGCGCTGTCTCAATTGCAACACTATACCTTGTGAGCTGCTTGCACGCAGCTTGCAGTTGGCCCAAGCCACCGGGATGGGAGGCCGTACGCATGGCAACCGCGGAAGCCCGCACTTTCTTCGCATGTGGCGCTAGCAAGGCCATCGACCCGGAGAAACCCTACCACGAACGGGACATTGCCGGAACAAAGACAGCCCCGAATCGTTCGCTAAGCCACACCAGGTTTCTCCAAGCATCAGCGCCTCAGAATCGGTACCTGCAGTCACGCCACTCGGAAACGCGGGAATCACGCTGGAGGCCTGAGCATTTTCTGAATTCTAGTCTTTCCCAGCTCAGCGAAGGAAGAAACGCCACCATCGATGGACGTTTTACGCTGACAACTAGAAGGGCGCAATGGTTTCCCCAAGTGCGCCAAGCTAGACGCCCACTCGGAAAAAGCAACGCACATGGTAAACTAGCATCCCGAATTTCTCGCCCAGACCTCAGTGGTTGGTACCTCGCGGCACCAGGACGCTAGGCGAGTCTGCCGTCGATGTGTGCCGCAGTATGCACGTGTACTCGCACCACCCGTTCCTGGCGCTGGCCTTCGTGGCGGCGGCAGCCGTCCTGTTCATTTACCCGTTCGTGTTGCGATTCAACGTCTACAAGGAGACTCTGGTGGCGATGGCCGTGTCGGACGTGATACCGGTGCGCGAACGCATCTCCACCCTCTGGTGCTCGGCGCAGGAGTTGGTGATGAACCACAGCTTCGACGCGCACCTGTACCGCGACTCGGACGAACCGGTGACGACGCCCATGGGCAGGACCCTGGAGCTGTCGCTCACCATGTCGGTGCCCAAGCAGACGTACGAGTACTGGGGGTTCTACTTCCTCGCAGGCTCCAACTTCACCGTGTCCGTGTGCTCAAGGCTCTCCGGCGCCGCTTTCTCGCTCATCCGGGGCCCAGCAGCGTTGGGAAAGTGCCTCACGGCACTCGAAACCAAGCGGTGAGTAAATATACCGCCTTCTAAATACCGCGACTTACTCCAAACACTTCGAGACTCGTGCTGATCGAAGCCTGTTCGCTCTGCCGACTTTCGTGAACGAAACGAATCTGCGGCCACCCGTTTACAAACGTTCTTGCCCTGCTTTTGTACCCATGTCTGTCCGGGTCTCCGTTCTTTGTTTTTGCTTCCCCCTTTTGCTTTTCCCGTTCCCTTTGTCCCATAAGTTTTCTCCTCCCGAAAGAGCAGCCAAGCGTTCTTTCCCTCTATCTAGGCGACAGTCAATGCTGTCAGTATATAGTATATTTAATTTTATGTATTCTTAACCCATCTGGTGTTAACGGTATTCACGCACTGAAGCTTGACATTGAAGCTTACATTGAAGAAGCTTAACAGTCACGTGGTTACGCTGCTTTCACATTATCGCAGCCACTGTGTTGGAGTGCCAGCGCATTAAGGAGTTGCGTACATGACGAAACGACGCATGCTATCCTATCTATCTATCTATCTATCTATCTATCTATCTATCTATCTATCTATCTATCTATCTATCTATCTATCTATCTATCTATCTATCTATCTATCTATCTATCTATCTATCTATCTATCTGTCTGTCTGTCTGTCTGTCTGTCTGTCTGTCTGTCTGTCTGTCTGTCTGTCTGTCTGTCTATCTATCTATCTATCTATCTATCTATCTATCTATCTATCTATCTATCTATCTATCTATCTATCTATCTATCTATCTATCTATCTATCTAGTTTATTCCTACGACTGTGAAGGAATAAACTAACGATTACCGCTCAGTTATGAATCCTATTTATTATTTATTCTTCATTGCCTTGGGTGTTTTGTCGTTGTTCTTCAGAAAAATAAAATGTTTTCAAAAATACTTTAGCAGTCGCACGGCGCACGTCATCGCACCCAAACTATGTTGAGGCAAAATATTTTGCCTAGGCTAGAGCGTTATTAAATGACTAATTAACGAAAATCAGTTAAATAACTTGTTAATTATTATTGACCCTGGATCTAGCGCTCAAGGCACGATCACTTTCTATGTTGGCATTTATTCGGTGATGAATTTGTCGAATTACGAATTACGTGAACATTAAAAAATACTCTGCGTTTCTGTCTCCGATTTCGTTATAAAGCGTACCAATGAAAAGCTCATTATTTAAAAAAAACTTTGTTATTGGAGCTTCGTGAGTGACTCGCATTATTACAATGTCCCCTTGCCTAAAACCACCATTACGAAGATGTCACCTTATCTAAGCTGAAAAAGATACGAAAAAATATCTTACAAATAGCTACAGTAAATATAACAAAAGGCCAAATGTAATGGCAACAGAGTTTTTTTTTTTTTTTTTAACAACGGGGTGGCTACTTGGGCTGGTTGGTTTTGCATTCTCAAAAGCAATATAGGTACTTCCTTTGTGCAGTTCGCCGCTGTGGCTTAGCGGTTATGATGCTCCGTTGCTGACCCGCAGGTCGCGGGTGGGATCCCGACTGCGGCGGTTGCATTTAAATGGAGAGGAAATGGTTGTGGCCTCTACACTGTGTGTTTTCAGCGCACGTTAAAGAGCACCAGGTCGTCAAACTCTCCGGAGCCCTCCACTACGGCGTCTCTCGAAATCATATGGTAGTTTTGAGGCGTAAAAATCCAGATAATATTAATGTTACTTTGTGCGCATCGAAAGGAATAGTGGCCTTACACATGTGCGGTCACTTTTCGATTCACTTTCGATCTCGATTGCCCACCTGAGCACTAAACTGGCTGTAAGTGTGCACTCCGTCCTACCTGACTTCTTTTTTAAAGCGTTCTACGGACACAGAAAGAATATTCCTTTTTTAAAAGAGGTTTGTAACGTATCCGTATACTTTTCACGTTACCATGTTGCCGGAATATCCGATTGAACCTGCGAATGCGCAAACCTTTACGGAACGTGAACTACTAGCCGTATACGTTTTACGTCTTCGGCCATGTCCTGAGAATTCACCTTCGTTCGCGGCTGCTCGCTTTACAGACCCAGCCGCCAAGTCAAAATAAGGCGAAGTGCGAGCGCCGATCACGGTCTCGCTGTTAGTCGCATTATCGAGGCTAGAATGACCTTGAATATCGAAACAGTAAACGTGAGAGAACTAAAGACCATCATAGACAGGATGGTGGTGGTGGTAAAAAACATTTATTTCAGAAAAAGTTTACTGGAGAGTGCAGACGTAGTGCATCGGCGTCACGTATTTGCGTATACCGGAATGCCTCTATTACGACTTTTCTACAGTGGTAATCGACATTTATACGTAAATATCATTTGATGCTGTTGTCACCATTATTTAGTGGTATGCGCAAACGTAAACGGTAAGCTGAGACTTCGCTACAACACCCTTCCTAAAAACACGGTGAATGAAATCCAGTATTTCTGTGATATTATAAAGTGTGCGGACAAACTGAAACATTTTAATGTAACACACACACACACACACACACACACACACACACACACACACACACACACACACACACACACACACACACACACACACACACACACACACACACACACACACACACACACAATGCGGCCCGAATGCGGCGTCGCCGCCACTCCACTCACCATGGGGGGACAAGGCGCGGAATCTTCCCCACGAATACGACAGCCGACCATAAAAAAGCAATGCCAAGCCCCAAAAACCTCTGCCCCTCATGAACCCGCATAAGCCCTCCAGGTGGCGCCACCCGCGAACACAGCGCCACCGTTCGCTCGGCGGCGATTAAGCTAACTACACTAACCACGACGTACGGCCGCGAAAACGGCTTTACAAGGGATGCTATAACACCACCGCAATGTTGAAGTTATAGTTGGGCGCCGTCGAACGAATGTTTTCAGATCAAAGCTGAGATTTTAGGCCTTGTTATTATGAGTTCAAAACAAGCGAAGGCTGTAAAGCGATCCACGGTCTTTGAAAATGACGGACGACATCCTCAAGCAGTTTCTCTTCCTCGAAAATCCTCCTCTGCTCCGTTAAATATCTGCTTTCGCGGAGAACATTGTTCTTGGAAAGGAAAAAGGTGGAGGTTGATTGAAGCAACACAGAAAGCGAGTGTTTCCTTAGTAAGAAAATAGACATTACAATGCTAGCAATCACTTTCGCAGGGCAACCACGAGTAAATAACGAGAATGCTTGAAGACTATTCCCCAGCTGGGTCCGTGGCATTTACGCGGGCCACACCCGCGCACTCCCATATAGCTGCAGGCCGAATGAAAAGAAATAATACGGAGCCGACCTTTACTGAACGTGCCTCGTTCCGGGAGGCTAAATTAAGTCGACGCGCCTCCGCATACTAATGTTGTTTTTCCAGATCACATGGCCACGTGTGTCTAATCGTTCCTAAGGTGTACAAAGACGTCATTACGCCGTGAACCAGGGCGAAGGTTGATGACTTGGTGAGGCACTAAGGCTGTATACGCTTGATAACGTTGCTCAGAGAAAAACATAGCTCGTGTTTCTATAGCTGTGCCGTCGAGTGGCAGCTTAATAATAATAATATTAGCATCTGGGCTTTTGCGTCCCAGAACTACGATAGGATTATGCGAGACGACGTTATGACGCGTGTTGGTTGTCCCTTTTTCCGAAAAATTCGGACCATATATATTCCAAAACGTGCCCGCTTAAGTGAGCGGTAGTGCATAAAGCACACGCGTGCCATCACAACTTGGTTGCGCTCTATGAAACAGCGAAATGTGAAAGTGATTCGAGCTCGTTGATCTGGGTATAGCTGCTCAAGAACAAGAACGGGAAGTATATCGTTCACCAGTAGCGACCTGTCACAAAAGAAGAGCCGAGACTTAAGCGCGAGGTTCGTGCCTCTGCATGGCTGCTACGTCATATCCTGCCATTGTCAGCGCGTGCACAATCTGTCTTCGCGAGCACTTGGCGAAAAGCCGCCACTGCGGACCCCCCGAGTCGCGCGAAACGTGCAGCAACAACAACAAAAAATGCCGCTACAGTAAGCATGTACCTATAGTTACGCGATTTTGCAAAAATGGGCCCTCGGACTTGAATAGTGTGGCTTTTTTTTTATATTTAGGATCGCAGTAACGTCTCACACGTGGTTTAATTTCACAGGCAACTTTCAGACGCCACCGATTACAAGGCTTCGCCGTCAGATCCAGCGATTTTTAATTCTGAGCACTACTAGAACGTGGTAATTTAAACCAAAAGGCTCTCTGATACCACTCAAGTCCCGTAGCGGGAAGATTCTACATGCTTCTTAAAATTCACAAGCAGAATAATCCCGGCCGCCCCCATCACTTCTGCAATTGGTACCGTCACCGAAACCTTATCCCGTTACGTTGACTTTCTCATTAACAAGATTAATTCCGGCCACATTTACGTCATTCTTTAGAGACACCAATCATTTCTTTCGAGAAATTGCACATCTTCACGTTTCATCTGGTTCAATGTTAGTAACGCTGGACGTAGTAACGCTGTGTGGTATTTTGATGTATAGCATCGCTATACATCAAAATACCACACAAAAATGGTATTTCTGCGGTAATAAAGGCATATGAAAGTTTTCCTTTTAATAAATCTATTGATATAAAAGCACTTGATACTCTTTTGAAACTTATACTCAAATCAAACAACTTTGAATATACCAGACGTCACTACGTATCAGCTAACGGCATCTCAATGGGAACGAAAGTAGGCCCTAACTACGCTAATATTTTCATGGGCATTCTGGAAGGCGAATTTGTCAGTGAAACCCCGCTTCAATCTCTCTACTACAGGCGCTTCATTCATGATATTTTTCATGTCTGGGCGCATGGCGAAGTAAGTCTGCTTGGTTACATTTGAGGTTTATTAAGTACTCGCACGAATTTTCGCGCACTTCTGTGAATTTCTTCGATGTAACAGTCACTCTTGCGAAAGAACAACTTGCCACAAAGCTGTTCTGCAAGTCCACTGACCGACATCAACTTCTGTATTTTCAGAGCGGCCACC